CGCTTTCTCACACTTGACCCCACGGCCCTCACTGTTGACCTTCTCAAGCAGCACCTCCTTGCAGCTGAGACTAGTGTAGTCGCTGTAGGTGCTTCTCGTGGCACTCCGCGCACGCCCTTCTTTGAGGGGTGATCCCCCTCCCCCCTTGCTCCCTCTTACGCCTCTGCTGCTGCTGTTGACGTCCCTGGTGCTAAGGACGTCGGGGCTGCTTCTGCTAGTGCAAAGCGCCGCAGCAGCAAGGGCAAGGGTGGCAGGGGTGGTGGCGGTGGCAGCGGGAGTGGTGGTGGGGGCAGCAGTGGAGGTGGTGGAGGCGGTGGAGGTGGTGGCGGTAATGGGAGTGGTGGCGGGAGTGGGGGCTTTGGTGGAGGCGGTGGTGGCAGCGGTGGGGGTGGCAGTAGTGACGGCAGTGGGAGTGGTGGCGGTCGGGCTGGAGCTACTCAGCGTGGAGGTTCTGGCGGTGGCCAGAGGCAGCAGCAGCAGCGTCGGAGCGAGACCCCGTCGCCCCAGCAGCTTCGTGAGTGGTTTTCTTAGCGTGGGACGTCTGGGGGTAGTGGTAGCTGCCCGTATGTCATTCGCACGGGTGACCGTGCTGGTCAGACATGCGGGAAGCCTCACACTCAGCATCGCTGCTTCTTCTGCCTCGACCACGCTTGGCGCGCAGAGTTTGGTGACAAGGCCGAGCGCCCCCGCTGGGCAGAGCTTCTTAGGTCTGGAGTTGCTATCTTTGACCTAGACTATGATGCTATCCTTGCTGCTATGTATGCTTTGTCGGTTAGTGCTGAGGGTGACTGTTACCTGTGTGTGCCGTCTGACCCAGGTATAGAGGCTGCTGCTCTAGGTGCTAGTGAGTCTGCTCTCCCTGGTACTGCGCTTGCTGAGGCCTTGCACACCTTTACTCTTGACTCAGGTGCTTCACGCTGTTTCTTTCGCGACAGCACCACCTTCACTCCTCTCTCTGCACCTGTTCTGGTCACACTGGCTGATCCCTCCAGGGGCCCAGTCCTTGCCCGTTTCTCCACTGTTCTCCCGTGTCCGGCGGTTCCGTCCGGCTCACTGTCAGGCCTTCACCTCCCCTCGTTCTCCACGAACTTGGTGAGTACAGCTGCCCTCCAGGACGCGATGGTCACTACCACCACTCTTGGTGTATCGATCTGGACGTGTACACAGACGGGCCGCCACCTGGCCACGTTCGCACGTCGGCCTGGGTCGAGTCTGTACACACTGGCTACTGAGCCTCCTCGGATAGCTGCGTCTGCCCTGGTGTCCGCGTCAGGTCAGGTAGCACCCCCTTGCTCGTGTCGCCATCTGTCGCACCAGACTCTCCTGTGGCACCACCGCCTTGGTCACCCCTCCGTGCCACGCCTTCGTGGCATGCACTCCCGCCTCCTTGTCTCTGGACTTCCCAGGTCTCTGCCTCCCCTCCTGCCCTCGCCAGCCCCGCCCTGCCTTCCTTGCGTCGAGGGGCGGCAGCGCGCCGCTCCTCACTCCTCCTCGTTTCCCCCGACGACTGCTCCCCTGCAGACTCTCCACATGGACGTGTGGGGCCCAGCCCGCGTCAGTGGACAGGGCCGCGAGCACTACTTTCTGCTGGTTGTTGACGACTAGACGCGCTACACCACGGTCTTCCCCTTGCGCAGTAAGGGTGAGGTCCTTGATGTCTTGATCACTTCGATCCGCGCAGTCCGTCTCCAGCTTCGCGAGCGGTTCCGCCAGGACCTTCCTGTCCTGTGTCTGCACTCTGACAGAGGTGGTGAGTTCTCCTCCGACCTCTTGAGGGACTTTTGTCGTGGGGAAGGCATTCTCCAGTCGTTCACGCTTCCGGCCTCCCCTCAGCAAAATGGGATTGCTGAGCGCCGCATTGGCTTAGTCATGGAGGTCGCTCGTACCTCCATGATCCATGCGGCTGCTCCCCATTTTCTGTGGCCGTTTGCGGTCCGGTACGCTGCGCATCAGCTAAACCTCTGGCCTCGTGTCTCCTTGCCGGAGACCTCGCCGACACTGCGTTGGACGGGGGAGGTTGGCGATGCGTCAGTGTTCCGGGTCTGGGGCTCTCGTGCCTTTGTTCGCGATACGTCCGCGGACAAGCTCCCATGCATGCTCCCATGCTCCCATGCTCCCTTGCTCCCATGCATGCTCCCATGCTCCTTTGCTCCCATGCATGCTCCCAAGCTCCCATGCTCCCATGCTCCTGCCCTCGTGAGCCACCGTATGCTCCCCATGTCAAATCAAATCCGCATGAACTAACAAGGTCTTGATGCTATATCATGTACACCTCTCACCTGCACACCTCTCATTAGTAAACCTCTTACCTCTATTCCTCACCAGTACAGCAAGCCAAAGGCGTAGTTGACCCCATCGCCCTTAGCATCAACCACACACTCCTTCCCCCTTGCACCAGCAGCCCCTGTCACCTTCCTCTTACCCCCATCACGCCCATTCTCATTCCCATCCCCACTCCCATGCAGGGTCTCACCAGTAAACCTCCCTCACTCACCGATACAGCGAGCCAAAGGCATAGTTGTCCCGGTCGCCCTTAGCACCAATCACATACTCCTTCCCCCCTGCCCTACCAGCCCCTAACACCCCTCCTCTCACCCCCATCCCACCCATCCCCATCATCCCCGTCCCCATGCCCATGCCCATGCCTACCCCCCCTACGTGCCTCCTCCCCTCACTCCCCGCCACCATTCTTTGGATTTTCTCTACCTCTCTGTTCCCCTTCCTCCTCCTCTTCTCCTCTTCTTTTCTCGTCCTGCGTCTCTTCCTCCTCTCCCTCCTCTCCTCCTCGTTCTCACTCTCGCTAGAATCACCACTTCTGCTACTGTCACTCCCGGAACTGTCACTAAAAGAACCTCCCTTCCCTGCCTTCCTCTTCTTTCTCCTTTTCTTCTCATGCCGGCTCTTTTTCCCTCGCTTCTCCTTCCTCTCCTTTTCCTTCTCCTTGCTTTGCATTCCCTTCTCCTCCCTTCTTTTTTTCTTCCTCATATCCCCACTCTTCTCTCTATCTCACACACTCACACCCTGCTCGCAGTCCTTCCCATTTCCTTCGCTATAGTCACTGTCATCCAGTTTCCCCATCCCTCTCCCTCCCTCGGGACTACCGCTGCTTTCCTTAACCCTCCTCTTCCTGCTCCCATCTCCGTCTCCCTCTCCTTCCTCCTCTCCCTCCTCTACCTCCTTTTCCTCCTCTTCCTCCTCTCCCTCCTCTTCCTCCCCTTCATCTTCTCCCTCACGCCCCTCTTCTCCCTCAACCCCTCCTATCCGCCCTTCCACTGCGCGCCAAGCTGTTGTGTCCACTGCTGCGCGCCGAGCTGCCTCTGCAGCCGGGAGAAGCATCGCGGAAAACGACGGATTCGTCAGCCAATCAGAGTTGGGCAAGCTTGTACCGGGACCATCACGAGATGCCCTCTCTTGGGGTAACGCACCAGAGATTGGGAATATGGGATTTGAGACGTTAACTGGGACGAGAACGGACTCCGTCGTCCTATTGAAATTTAAACCACCTCCGTTAACGAATTCGCCTTCCTGAGACGATACTGAGATACCAGATACTTGCTTTCGAGTCTGACCTACAGGGAAGATCGGAAAAAGTGGGGGTCGCTGGCTGGTACCTCCACTCGCGGAAACGCTCGGCGGAAAATCTCTTGGAGCGATCGTCTGAGTTTACTCAAACGACGTGACGGACTGGAATTGATTCGCGGTGACTTCATCAGGAGGATCGGAACTTTCGGAAGAGTCAAGAAAGTCAACGGAGTCGTTGGGATCAGCCTTAGCGTGACTACCTATATCTTTAGACGGACGCTTGATTTATGACTCTGGCACAGAGTATCTCTCAATGCAGGCATAATATATGCAATAAAACGGCACCAAGGGCGTAGAAGGTTGCCCGACAACCTTAATTCAGCTAGGTGGTTGTAGCGAAGGTAACTAACCACTGTGCGAGCTTCACAATAATGTTTGACTGCACTCGCCTTCAAACGAGGGTCCACACTCGCCTGACGTGGGTTAAGAAAATAATATGTTGAACCTGGCTCGCCAGCGCGAAAGTTTTGGCTGGCGAAAATTGAGAAATTCGTGCCCCCAGTTTTCTTCCACAGTAACATTCCCCCAGGATTCAAGGTTTCGGGAGTCAAATGTATATCTTCGTTTTAAAACGGACACTTATTGTGCCAAAACAAGCTTGACAATACATCATATTTTCAGTTACGACTGTGGTTGTATGCTTATATAGTTTACTTCCAACCAAAAAAAAAATCAGCATATTTTACAATTTTCGTTTATTACAGGTACTTATGTCGAGCAACTAATAGCTCTTACTGGAGAAACTCCTTCGTCTGCGGTCCTGGTTGGGTCCAAATTCAGGCAAGCACAACCAGAAAAAGGAGTAAAGTTAGGAAAATCAGCAACAGAAATGACCACAGTATTTGTTAGGACGAGCACGAGCAGAGCGTGTACAGAAAATGTATGCAACCAGGACACATACAACTTTCAAGCAAAAATTAGGGTCAGGGTTTTGGGTATGGGGTTTTCGTACACGTAACACTATCAGACACTTACTTAGCAATGGTAACATTGTTGTCCGGTCGGTCCCAGCCCGACGCACCCCCATAGCAATCCGCATCACTCCAAAACCACATCATTCCACAAGTGACCCTCGTCCCCTTCGCCCCATCAGGCGCATCCCAGAGAATCTTCAGAGAACCCACAGCCCCGGCCAATGGAGCGGGGATGTTGACGCAGCCAGTGGGATCGTCGGTGTCAGGAGTGGGGCCTCGGAGCACAGTGGGAGTGTTGGCAAAGGAGGGGCGGTGGAAGAGAACGATGCTGGTGGTGACTGTGGGGGGGCCGGCTGGGGGGACAAGCGGGGGAGGGAAAAAAGGGAGAACAAGGGGGGTAGACGAGAGAGAAGTGAGGGCGATGCAGGACTGGGGGTTCAGAGCACGATGGGAGCGAGGGAGGCGGGTGCGTTGGTGAAGGAGGGGAGATTCAGAGTAACGTACCTTTCGTGCAGGCGCCGTTGACGAGGGATTGGGAGGCAGGGCAGGCACAGAAGGGAATGCCGTTGCTGTCGGCCCTGCAGCGAGCTGAGGCCGGACACTTCACTCCCTTGCAGGATGGCGCTGTAGGGGAGGAGAGGGGTGCAGAGGAGTGGAGAGGGATATTTTAGGGGACAGTATGGGTGCAGAACGGGATGCCATTGCTGCCTGCCCTGCAGTGAGCAGAGGCCGGGCACTTCACTCCCTTGCAGGATGGCGCTGTAGGGGTGGAGAGGGGTGGAGACGGATGGAGAGCGGCATTTAGGGGAGACTAGGGGATCAAAAGGAGATGCCATTGCTATCAGCCTTGCAGTAAGCAGGGACAGAAGTGAAAGAACGGAAGATACATAAATATACATTCATATATGTATATATATGTATGTATATGTATATATATACGTCTATATATGCATATATGTGTATATATATATTGTCGCCCGAAAACACCATTTTAGCAGCAGAGCACTCACCCTGGCATGTGTTGGGTGCGATCTGCACGGTCCCCGTGGGACACACACACTTGGCCGCACCCAATATGCCGTCACACACAAAGTCCCCGAGACAGCGAGCCGCGCCTTTGCATGGGTCTGCATGGATTGGTGGGGTTGGGGTGGGGAGAAGCGAAGAGTTGGGCGGGAGAGGCATGTCTCGTTACCCGTGCAAGCATGGCGTGAAGTAGTAAGTAACTACAAGAGGGAAGGCTGGCATTGAAGGGATTAAAGAGGGAGTGGCACACATGCCACACAGACGCTACCCACATGCCACACAGACGCTACCCACATGCCACACAGACGCTACCCACATGCCACACAGACGCTACCCACATGCCACACAGACGCTACCCACATGCCACACAGACGCTACCCACATGCCACACATGCCAAGCATGCCACAGGCCACATACCACATACCAACTCACACCACGCATGCTCTACCTGCTTGGCACGTGCTGCTGTTGACCAACACTTGGCCCCGCGGACACAGGCAAGCGGACTTGCCATCAACACACCACACACCACACACCACACACGCCACATGCCGCACACCCAACACATGCCAACATGCTCACCTGCTTGGCACGTCCTGCCATTGACCAGCACTTGGCCTCGCGGACACAGGCAGACAGGCTTGCCATTCACAGCAGCACAGGTGGACGTGGAAGGGCACAGCACTCGAAAGCAAGGGTTTTCAACTGCATAGGGGGAGAGGGTGGTAAAAGAGGGCGAGAAGAGAAGGTGAGTAGGAGACTCAAGGCGAGCAGGAGGACGTGGGCTTGCCATTCCATTCACAGCCGCACAGGAGGACGTGGGCTTGCCATTCCATTCACAGCCGCACAGGAGGACGTGGGCTTGCCATTCCATTCACAGCCGCACAGGAGGACGTGGGCTTGCCATTCCATTCACAGCCGCACAGGAGGACGTGGGCTTGCCATTCCATTCACAGCCGCACAGGAGGACGTGGGCTTGCCATTCCATTCACAGCCGCACAGGAGGACGTGGGCTTGCCATTCCATTCACAGCCGCACAGGAGGACGTGGGCTTGCCATTCCATTCACAGCCGCACAGGAGGACGTGGGCTTGCCATTCACAGCCGCACAGGAGGACGTGGGCTTGCCATTCACAGCCGCACAGGAGGACGTGGGCTTGCCATTCACAGCCGCACAGGAGGACGTGGGCTTGCCATTCACAGCCGCACAGGAGGACGTGGGCTTGCCATTCACAGCCGCACAGGAGGACGTGGAAGGAGAAATCCTGAACTGCGGAGTTGTCATGTCAGCTCACCATAAGGACTCTCGCAAAGTTGTCAGCTCACAAAGTTGCGCGCGGGGTGGGGTGGTAGTTGCACGCCCACACACACGTCACTGTCCTCGCCACTTCTCAATACCCACACGCTGCAAGCTCCCCGTAAGGCAATTCTCTGCACCCTTGAGCTCACCATAAGGCCTCTCGCCCACAAAGTTGCCAGCAGGGTAATAGTTGCACGCCCACACGTCACCGTCCCCGCCACACGACGCCTTGCCACACCCCACCTTGCGAGAGTCGTTCCAGACCACCTGCAGAGCACACCACACGCACGAGACACGATGCACGAGACACAATGCACGAGGCACATGTGATGTGAGTAGAACGAACGTTTGAGCTACATACATATATATACTTGCGAGTAGTGCCTGCATCTGCTCCAGTCACCAAGCAAGCAGACCCACCTGCGAGTAGTGCCCGCAGCTTCCCCAGTCACCACTTATGCGATTGTACGACTTGCCCTCGCCCACCCACCACTGCACTGCATCGCTGTTCGACGCCCACCCGGCCGGACCCGCGCCTGAGAGGTTCTGCCCCTCGCCCTCCCCCATGCCGCCGTGCTCCAACCCGCAGTTGTAGTCGTCGCGGAGAGTGTCGGCCCACGCCTGGGCCCTCTCAGCCACTGGAGGTGTGGGGGGGGGGGGGGGGGAAGAGAGGAACAGGAGGGGAAGGGAATGAACAGGGGAAAGGGAGGGGGAAAGGGAGGGGGAAAGGAACAGGAGGGGAGGGAAGAGGGAGGAGAGGGGAAATGAAGGGGGAAAGGGGGGTTAGAGGTTCTGCCCCTCGCCCTCTCCCATGCCCCCGTGCTCCAGCCCACAATTTTAGTCACTGGCGAGAGTGTCGGCCCACACCTGGGCTCTCTCAGCCACTGGGGGAAGGGTGGGGGGGGGGGTGGGGAGGAGAGGAGAGAGGAAGGGAGGAAGACGAGAAATAGCAGCATGAATGAACACTACAGTGACATAAGAAGAAGCAGTAACATGAACACCAAACCAACCCAGCATGAGAAGAAACAGCACTCCACCGGATTGTCCCCCACTCCACCACCCATTACCAACGTGAATGAACACTACAGTGGCATGAGAAGAAGCAGTAACATGAACACCAAACCAACATCTCGCACATAGCCAACATTGTACGCGGTCTCGCACCCACCACACCATACCAGCATCCGACCCAACACAGCACCCACATGCGTCGTCCCACTCGATAAGCACAGGCACCCACAGCAGCCCTGACAGCACGCCGTCTCGCAATCACAACACCAGCATCTGACTGATCCAACACAGCACTCCACCGGATTGTCTCACACTCCATTACCCATCACCACCCACAGCAGCCCTGGCAGCGTTGTGCGGTCGAGATGGTCGGAGTTGGGAAGAGAGCAGCAGCAGAGGAGCAACACTTGTTGTTTCTTTCAATTCGACTCAAAAGCCACCCATCTACGTCGTCCCACTCGAGGGGCGCGGCGCCCACAGCAGCCCTGGCAGCGTTGTGCGGATCGAGATAGTCGGAGTTGGGATAGTCATCAGAGGAGCACCGGTTGTTTCCCTCCAGTCAACTCAGTCAACACAGTCAACACAGTCAACATAGTCAATACAGTCAACTCAGTCAACACAGTCAACTCAGTCAACACAGTCAACACAGTCAACACAGTCAATACAGTCAATACAGTGAACTCTCAAGTCCCTCACCTGCGTCGTCCCACTCGATGGGCACGGCACCCACAGCAGCCCTGGCGGCGTTGTGTGGGTCGAGGTAGTTGGAGTTGGGATAGTCATCAGAGGAGCACCGGTTGTTGATCAGGCGCTTGAAGGGAGCGGGACATTTGCACACCACTGCACCGTCCTGCACCGCGCACTTGGACACGTGGGGGCACTTGACACCGTAGCACGGGTCTGGAAAGGGGGAGAAGGGGACAGGGGAGGAGACAGGGGAAGAGACAGGGGAGGAGACAGGGGAGGAGACAGGGGGAACGGGCCCGGGTTGGACATTTGCACAACATTGCACCGCTCTGCACCGTGCATTAGGACACGTCCAAGCACTTGACAACGTAGCAGGGATCATCTGAAATGGTTGCAATCACCTTTGCAAGAGCACTTGGCAACGCCTGCGGAAGCAGCGCAGGTGCAGCCCGTGGGGCACGACACGAAGGAGCACGGCCCACTCGCAGCAGCAGCAGCTGCAGCAGCAGCAGCAGCAGCAGCGGCTGCACAAGCAGCAACAGCACTAGCAGTACTAGCAACAGACGAACTTGAGGCGTCTCAAAAATCATTGTTGCACTCACTCACCTTTGCACGAGCACTTGGCGACGCCCCCGGAAGCAGCGCAGGTGCAGCCCTTGGGGCACGACACGAAGGAGCACGGCCCACTGGCAGCAGCAGCAGCGAATCGCGATGATGATCGCGTGGCGGGCTGAAAGGGTACGGCAGCGCGGCTCCGATACCATCCGGGACCGCTCGCAGCCGAAGCGCGAGATTGCGTCGAGGCGTGGTTCCTGCGACTGTGACGGCCGTGTGCGGCGGCGACGGCAGCGGATGCGGAGAGGAAGTGGTGGGAGAGGAGGGTCGCGTAGAGGAAGACGACGAGGAACGGGAGGAGGACGGATGATGAGCCTGATCGCACTGAGCGTTTGATGCAAGCCATCGATGCTACTGATTTAGTAGCAACGGGCGTGATAGTGGAGATTAAACAGGCAATAAAGAGCCGAGAGGAGCAACGGCTCCCTGGTTGAAAGAACGAGGGAGGCAGGCAGAAGGGGAGAGACGCGGAAAGGCCTTTAATCGTCTAACAAGATTGCTACTAATCGTGGACGGCTGTTGGATTGCTGATGGATAGCTGGTGAAATGCTTGTGGATCGCTGGTGGGTGGATGCATTTATTACTGCATTTATAACTTCGAGAACAGTTGAGAGTTCGAATGCAAGGGCGGCTGTTGTTTGAACGAGCCGACCCGGACCAAGCCATGGCGGATGGTACGAGCTACTAGTGAGCTTCCCGCGGACGACGAAGCCAGGTCGCGCCTTTCGGACCTTGGCCTTAGAGGCTGGAGACTCACGACGACACCCGATTTGCGATTTGCGGGTGAATGGAAGGAGCTTGAATGGATGTCAGACTAAAATGGCTTTGTCTTGCGTCGGTGGTGGGTTGAACAGGAACTGGGGACTAGGGTTGAATGCAAGGAAACGAACAACAGTTCTTCCTACTGCGGGCCGTGTTGTTGTGGCGCGCGAAACTCCCTAGGGTGTGCTGTTTGACGCGCGGGACTCCCCAGGGCATGATGTTTGGCGCGCGGGACTCTCCAGGGTATGCTTTGTGGCGCGCGCGGCTCCATTTCGTCTGGTCAAGTCATCCCTCGCCTTGGTAGTAAGTTGGTCATGGTTGGGACGTCAATGAGCAAGTTACATTACGGTTCGTACTGGTATCGTATCGAGCCACTGAAAGTTCCGTTACCGCCATTCCCCCCCGTCCGTAACCAGCAACCCCTCCCCCACCCGCCCAACCACCAATCTGACGGCAGTGTTCCGCGCTCCAATTCTTGAATGCATCCAAAATTGAAGCTTGGCGTGGCAGCCACGGGATCCCCGTTTGCGTCAGTGATGAGTCAGGAGTTTCAACGATCTCGGCAATATTTCCTAGTTTGTTCGTTTATGGCCATTACCTTAACCTCTCTAAAATGGTGCAAAGATTCTGTTTCAAACAAATGATGCCCCATGGTCTGAATGGTAACAGATAATCTTGAATGAAGATTTAAAACCAAACCATTTACCACCGTACAATCATATAAACACAAGCACACATGCAATATATTAGACCATAGCAAACATGCTACAAAAATAACTAAGTATTTACATACGCAATTGTATGTGAGCTTCGTAACAGTGCCAAAATTTTGATCCAATCACTTCAGGGACTCTCCTCGCGACTTCAGCGCCTGAGGAAGAACATCGTTGGGCAACTTCGCTTCACCAACAGCTGCACTGAACGCTGATGCCGCTGCCGTTGAGGGTGTCACCTTAACACCACCCGGAGCTGATGTGGAGGACGAGGTTTTCACCACCAGGCCTTCAAAGTATACGTCAGCGGGGGAGGGCAGGGGGGCGTAGCCTGGGCGGTTGGGCGAGCGGACGACAGAGTCGAGCTGCTGGCAGGCAGACATTGTCTTCACATGCTCCATCTCGTCGTCCTGATGTGAGGGGATTGGGGGGAAGGTGGGGGGCGAGCACGGAGAATGAGAAGTGAGATAACAATAGGAAGGCACTTGTAATCCCGTGCTACATATTGTTGTCCTCATGTGGGGGGAGAGTTGGAAGAATATATTTCGTCGGGGAAAAGAAGGGTTGGTTGGTAGGGAAAGAGCTAAGAGACGTGAAAAGAGAGGTATGAGGGGAAGAAGTTTCACCACGTGCTCCAATTGCTGCTCTGGTGTGAAGGTAGAGGGGGAAAGGATTTGAACAGGAAAGCTGAGAATGAGCAAAAGGAATAAGGAATGGTGAGAGACAGAGTAATAATGGAAAGGGAACTAAGGAGAAATTTTGGAAGGTCCTTGGAGATCGAAGCAGCGATAAAAAATAATGCATATTAGCAGTGTAGGATTAAAAAATGCAAAGTTGAGCAGTCTATACACACCCTGATGGCACAGAAGACATCGTACAGACTCTCAATCTTGGGTCGCCGGGACTCGGGTACTCGTGACGTCTGAAATTCGTCGAACCTGGACAAGAAAATGGAAAGGGGGCGAAATTTGTTCGGGATGTCAGACACTGGAGAATAAGGGGGAGCACTCGCATCACATGCAAGCACACACACGCACGTCCCCCACCCCTCTGATTTCCCCCCACTCCCCCCTCTCCCTCCCTCCTCCACGTCTCGTCCCCATAAACTCACGTATAAAGGTCATAACTGTTGTAGTATGCGATAGCTGCTGGGGAGGGAGGCAGAGTTTTCAGCAGCTCCTCGGCATTTTCATCCACACACTCCTCGTACGTGTCCACTGCATGCATGGGCCTTTACCAGCTCTCGACTGACACCACATACATCTACCCTCCCTCTCAACTCAACTCCCCTCACATGCAAACAGCAAGCACACACGGCCGTGTACCCCACACCCCCTTGCCCCCAGCATCCCAACCCCCTGACGATTTTTGAGGCGCCTAAAAAATCCCCTTTTTGAGGCGCCTCAAAAATCCCCTTGCCCCCAGCATCCCAACCCCCTGACTCACATGTAAAGGTCATCGCTGTTGTAGAAGGCAATTGCTGCTGGGCACGCAGCAGCAGCTCCACATTCTCATCCTCGAACTCCCCATATGTGTCCACCGCATGAGCCTCGATCAACGTACCACATGTCAGTCTCAAGCAACTCACATGTACAGATCATCACTGTTGTAATAGGCAATAGCTGCCGGGGAAGGCGGCAGAGTATTCAGCAGCTCCTCATTCTCATCCACAAACTCGCCATACGTGTCCGCTGCATGAACCTCTATTAGCCCCTCCCCTTCTCGTCCCTCTGACTCACATGTACAGGTCGTCACTGTTGTAGTAAGCAATAGCTGCTGGGGAGGGCGGAAGAGTTTTCAGCAGCTCCTCATTCTCATCCACAAACTCGCCATACGTGTCCACCGCATGCGCCTCGATGAGCTCCGAGAAGTTATACGCGGTACGTGGGGAGATTAAGAACATAAAGTTTAGGACCCAATAGTAGAGGATCGCGGCGTGCTGGGCAAAGAAGCGGTCCACCCAGAGCCGGTCACCGCCGAGAGACTCCATGATCTTCAGGTGGTTCATCTCGTTCCACTCCTCCGCAAAGTGAACCTTCCGAACCTCGGCTCCGATCCTCCACCTGAGGTTTGGTAAATTGACGTGAATGGTACGGGAAAGAGGCAAGCAGGGGGTTGAGAAATGAAGTTCCGGAATCAAAATCAAAGAAAGAGGAATCCTGTGAGGAGGGAGAAGCAGTCGATCCAGAGGTGGTCGCCGCCGAGAAACTCCATGACCTTGAGGTGGTTCATCTCGTTCCACTCCTCGGCAAAGTGTACCTTCCGAACCTCCATGCCGACCCTCCACCTGAGGTTTGGAACAGGCACGGGGAGTACAGGTTAAGGAAGTGTAGAAGTATGCTCACGAGAAGACAACGCTGCGTTAATGACCAAGATTTTCTAAAAAGGCGAACTTCTCAGATTGGAAACATATAGATATATATATTTATGTGTGTGTGTGTACATAATGACCCAACGTTTTGAAGATTATATTGCTCAAATTTTAGTTCCAGCAACTTACCATCCCAGAGTCTCGTAGAGGTGAAGCATGGAGATGTATCTGCAGGAGAAGGAGGGACATGGGGGGCAAGAGAATGGGGATCAGAGGATTCCAGAAGGAAATGGGAAAAAGCATGGCTGAAACTCTTGATAAGGAAAGCATGTGTGGGGCGCTGTGTCCCACACTATTATGCAAGCACATGGCATGGCATGATCATGTGGATGGAAGATGAGTCATGAGCGATGGGTCATGGGTCATGAACGATGGGTCACGAATGAGGGTCCACATAATGACTTCTGAGTCGACTCAAAAGTCACCTCATGATCATGTGGACGAGCGACGGGTCACGAGCGACAATGCACGAACGATGACGCACGAACGATGATGGTCCACATGGTTGGCATGGCACTCACGAGAAGTAGGGCATGCGTGCTACACTGTGCTCCCATGCTATCATGTAGCACAAGTCATGGAATGATGTTGTAGACGAACAATGTTTCAGGGACGATGATGCACGAACTATGGTGGTCCACGTGGTTGGCATGGCACTCACGAGAAGTAGGGCATGCGTGCAACCGTCTCGAGGAACCAGAACCGTTGGATGGGGCGGTTGTAGAAGATCACATCGAGCATCTGACGGATGGGATGGGATGGCATGGGATGGGAAAGATTGAGAAAAGGACAAGTTGAAGTGACTTTTCATTGGCCTGAAATAACATTAGCCCTCTTTTTTTCACCTTTCTTCAGGATCTCTCTTGAGGTTTTCTTTTGGCAAAGCGAACATTCCAGCACAGATGCCCTTTCAACCACAGGTGATTATGACGTTACCTCTCTGAGCCACTAAGCCAGCACGAGTGCATCTAACATGAACTCAACTCACCAGCATTTAGAGGTAAGAACTGCGTGCCTCCCTCCCTTGGACCAGATCGTTCACCCTGCACTCTGCCTTGCCAGCCAGTCTAAACACCCATCACCAGCACTCAACGCACCCAGCACAGAGGCTTGTGTGGGAGCAGGATCCGGCCCAGCGTTTCCACCTGAGACCGGTCTTTGACCCTCAGGATCAACCATCCCCCCTCACACTGCTGTCACATGCATCCCACACCCATCGACCCAACTCACCCAGCTGCACCCAACTCAACCCAGCTGCAATCAGCTCAACGCAGCGGCACTCCACTCACCCAGCACAGCAGCTTGTAGGGAAGCAGCATCCACCCAGGCGCCTCCACCTGAGGCCGGTCCTCCTCCCTCTCTCCTCTCACACATCATGCGCTCTGCTTTGCCCATCAGGAAACCCACTCGCAGCACCCAACTACTCACCCAGCACAGCAGCTTGTAGGGAAGCAGGATCCACCCGAGTGCCGCCACCTGAGGCCAGTCCTCCTCCCTCTCGCCTCTCACATATCATGCGCTCTGCTTTGCCCATCAGGAAACGCACTCACAGCACTCACCCACTCACCCAGCACAGCAGTTTGTAGGGAAGCAGGATCCACCTAGGCGCCTCCACCTGGGGCCGGTCCTCCTCCCCCACCGCCCCTCAACACTACTGTCACATGCATCCCACATACGCGGACTCAACTCACCCAGCTGCACCCAACTCAACCCATCTGCACTCCACTCACCCAGCACAGCAGCTTGTAGGGAAGCAGGATCCATCCAGGTGCCTCCACCTGGGGCCGGTCCTCCTCCCTCTTAGCCACCGCCTCGTTGCTCAGCGTCAGCTGCAGTAGCTTTTTCCGCAGTACCTCACTCTCCTCGGGCATCTGTGAGCGAACAGGGAAGGAGGCAGGTGTGAGGGGGTGAACACGAGGAACGCTGACTGCGAGACAATTCAGAGAACACTGATCGCTGCTCAGCGTCAGCTGCTGCAGCTTTCTCCTCAGCGTCTCACTCTCCTCAGGCATCTGCGAGCCTCGCAGAAAAAGGGAAAGAGGAAGACCGTGGATCACTTGTGGGGCCTTACAAGGAAGGAACAACGAAGATTCTCCTCCTGCTGCTGCTCTGACTTCTCCTCAGATGTCCCTTGAATCCATCACAAAAAAGTAGCATCTTCTTCACCGTGTTCCTTACTTCTTTCCTTTTTTCAACCACGAGCTTACGGAGGGGGGGGAGGGGGGGGGGGGTGTAAGCTCTCGAGGGGGCTTGAGAAGCTTGTAAAAGGTGACTTTTGAGTCGACTCAAAAGTCACCTCTCAAGGGGGCTTGAGAATCTTGTCAAAGAACTCAAGGGTTGAGAAGAGGAAGCGAGGCATTGTCAGGATGGCTTGTACATGAACCACAGATGGAAGGCTGAAGGCAGCGGGAGGGGGAACTTGATGAGACAAGCCTTACAGCAAGGGGGGGGCTTGAGCTCGGGAAGACCGTCGTAGAGTGTGAGAAGCTTGTCGGAGATCTTGAGAGCGTTCGGACGAGGAAGCGACAGAGATACACGGATTTACCAAGCTTCAACGTGACTTGTAACGATTCGTGAAGGCAGGAAAGCTTACGGCGGGGGGGGGCTTGATCTCGGGAAGACCGTCGTAGAGTGTTAGAAGCTTGTCGAAGAACGTGAGCGTTGAGACGAGGGATCAATGAGGAAGGGACAAGGAAGCGAACTGGCACTTGCTATGTGGCTCGCTAAGGCGACTACAAAAGGAAGGACGGCTTACGGCAGGGGGGGGCTTGATCTCGGGAAGACCGTCGTAGAGCGTTAGAAGCTTGTCAAAGAACTTGAGCGTTGAAACGAGGAAGCGACCCGCGTACGCGAGTGCGAGCTGCCTTCCATCTCTCTTGATGTTGTCGGCTGGGTGGGGAGAGATTGAGGGAAGGCGGGAAAGAAAGGGAAGAATAGAGTCAATATGAGCAAAAAGACCATGCATCAGTGTGGAGGAAAGGCTAGCGAAATATTGACCCTTGGGAGATGTAACGCGTCTTTCTATATAGTGAGCGGAACAGCGAAAGAGCTGCACTTACTTCGCACATCGCTGAGCTCCTCGTAGAGAACGTTACTACGAAGGGCCTGCACGTGAATGGGAGAAAACATGGAAAATTCGCGAGTTAAAGAACGTTGGCCTGGACAAAGATGCAATGACGAAACGCAAAGAGCACTAGAGCGGAGAACTCTTGCGATGGGAAACACAAAATTGCGAAAGAACCGAAGGACGCAGGTGCAGGCGCGAAGTTTAATTTCAAGGGGAAAAAATGGAAGTGATTTCAAAACGGCGTGGCGTGTGGCATGCTGACACTTGGCATGCTGAAATATGGAATAATGACGTGGCATGCTGAAGTGCTTACCGCGTACTCGCGGGCGAAATTCTCGAACGCGAGCTTGAAGACGTTACCAGGGACGTTGGGCCCCGAGCGGAGAAACTTGGACTGCGACAGCCAGGCAGGAGGAAGAGGGGCGCAGGGGAGGAAGAAAATGTTCGATTCAACTCAATCACATTCGAGGGGCTTGGAAGGGACGTCGGGACGCGCCTGGGCCGACGGATTGTCAGAGAAACGCCAGTACCTTGGAATAAATTGTACCTGAAAGCCGTAGTCGTATGCGATCAGCTTGGGCTTAGTTGAACCAGAGGACGCCGAACCGTTGGACGCGGCGGGCTCTGCGGTTTGGTTCTCTTTCTCCGGGATTTCCGGTTTAGCGCTTCCGCTGGTGCTTGCCTCACACCTGTTACGGAAAGACAGCAGCGAATTTTGGAAAATAAATGACGGTGGCAGGAGTAGGAGAAACCGGAACGAATTGAGGAAAGTAGAAGACGTCGAACTAAGGAGAAGCAGATTGCTGGGTTCTTGTCACGAAATGCAAAAACGCAATGCGATAGCTGTACCTCCAGCGTTGCGAATTGCCGCTTTGAGTCGATCCACATCGCGAAAAAAAGGGACGGGAAAGGGAACCGCCGATCGCCGTCAGCGCCTGGCGCGAACCCAAGTAATGGCTCTTCAATGCGATGCGATTCCTGCGAATCACGCCTTTTGAACGCGGTTCCACGCTTCTAGTAGGCTGGCTAGAGGTTCCGGACAAACAGTCACGGGATATGCCGATCGTTTGCGTTGCAGGGCCGCTGATTGCCGTGAAAGCCATGGCAGCAGCAGTACGAAGGCAGCAAGAAGTGAACTCGAAAACAATGGAGAGTGGAACAAGCAAGCAGAAGCTGTGGAATAATGGTACGGTTTTGATAAGGAGGTTGCCCCAGAGACAGATGTCGAACAACGAGAGCTCGAAACAACAATGTATGGACTGTAAAATGCTTTGGTGTCTCTGTTGAGTGAGAAATATGGAGATGGGCAGTACGTACAGTGCAGCACCTCGGCTGAAGTGAGCCTGCCCGCAGTTGTTCATTCAACAACCAGCCACACCGCGCCAGCCTACAAAGTCCTGGAAGTTTCACGAGAGTGGACTGAGGCCTCGAGACTTGCCTGAAATGACGGGGCCCCCTGCTTGTAACCTGCTGTCACGTCGATGGCTGGCTACTTTCAGGATCTGTCCAACGGCATTTGGTGCAAGATTCTGGGAGTAAGCGGAATCGGCTTGCGTGTCACTGACGGTGGCTCGAAAAGTGGTGAAGTGCACGGAGAGTGTCGCGGTTAGGCAGGTCGGTGTTGGTGGTGGTGTGGTGTCATAGAGACTGCTCGCAGCATCCCTCGAATGTGTCAGGAATGAAACCTGTCTACAACTACTGTAAATTCAGAAACATTTCATCTGATATGAATAAAATCTTCCCAGCTAAACATACTCACGAGTTCGCGACCAACTCACAGGCCCTCAGCCCAAATGCACCATGCGCTCAGCCCTCAACACATCAGCATCAATCGCTCTGGACCACTCCGGAAGCTCCCGGAACTCCATAAATTGTGCAACCACCCCCAAAATCCGCGGATCCTTAAAATACGCCCCATGGTTCAGGTCAAACTTACCTGTGAGCTCTTTAAACCGGTCCTCAATCATGACACATAGCTCCTTAATCTGCCGAACAAACTGCTGGGGGGTAAGCCGGGGGTTTTTCCACATCTTGTTGATTTCCGGCTCGAGACAGCTGTAAGTGAGGCACTTAGCAGCAGCCTCATCCAGCTCCTTATCGTCCCATAAATACTCGTACAGTAGTTGCTCCTCCCCGTGCATCTTCCCCCCCACCTCCATCTCGCCGTCTCTCACCTTTTCCGTCCCACCTCCTGACATTTCAACAACCCCATGCTTCCCCACATTACCATCAGCCTCGTTCGTCCCACCTCCTCCGCGTTGGCCTTCCCCTTGCGGCCACGAGTTGGTGTTGTGAGTGCGGGAGGGATCAGAGGAAGATCCTCCGCTTTCACTGAGTGGAAGCAGAGGAAAATCATGAGTGTGGCATGTCGCCACAGAAGCTACATCTCTGCCCGTTACACCTCCGTGGGTTTCATCTCCGTGAGTTTCATCTCCCCGGGTGTCACCTCCGAACGTCCTCCCACTCTTAAATGTAACGCGCCGACGCAGCCTTCTTGCGCTGCGCTGCCATTGGCCGGTCGAAGTGCTCAAACATGGCTCTAGAGTAGGCCGGTAGCGGCTATCTTTGTCCTTTTCCATCCCTGCCCCAGTACCCCCTGCTACATCTGCTACATCCTCTGTACCTGCTACAGCCTCTGTACCTGCTACAGCCTCTGTACCTGCTACAGCCTCTGTACCTGCTACAGCCTCTGTACCTGCTACAGCCTCTGTACCTGCTACAGCCTCTGTACCTGCTACAGCCTCTGTAACTGCTACAGCTGCTGCCCCTGTTACAGCAGATGCCTGCTGTGGTGCTACTTGTGCTGCTCCCAAACTCTCTGCCACCTCATGTCCTGCCAACCCCTCCCCACCTACTCCAACCACTCCAGACCCTCCCTGCTGCACCCCTCGCCCATTCACCCAGCCTTCCCCCTCCCCATCCCGTTCAACCCCCTTACCCTTTCCCTCACTCTTACCCTTCATCCCCACTTTTCCCTCTCCAGGCGCCCCCTTCCCAAGTAACCCCTTCCCGAGTAATCCCTTTTCTAGTAGCCCTTCCTCAAATACCACCTCCCCCATGTCACAGGTGTCATCCTCATACCCCGCCATCAGCTCGCCCTGCAGCGACTGCGTCTTGGCCAGAGCAAGCAGTTTCTGAGAAGGGTAAGGAGGAGGACAGATGAGGGGAACACGGGAGGGAGACAGGGAAAAGAGGAAGGCTACAGCTGAGGTATCGCCTGCATTCATACCCCGCCATCAGCTCGCCCTGCAGCAACCGCGTTTTGGCCACCACCAGAAGTATCTGCAACAGGGGGAGGGAGGGGGGAGGGAGGGGGGGAGAGGAGGGAGGTGAGATTGGATGCGGTGAGATTGGAAGCAGTTTCTGGCCTAGGTCCGGCACCTCGTGCGTGAATGAACACACAAGCAGCACGCACGCACACACGCACGCACGCACGCACGCACGCACGCACGCACGCACGCACGCACGCACGCACGCACGCACATCAGCCACCCCTTAGGGGAGTCCAGCTTCTCTGTGTGCTGCAAGTAACGACAATCTACCGCCACCCATCCACCTGCCTCCCCATCCCCTCACCTGCACGTTCCAGTGCTCCACGTGCTGGGAGGATAACCCCAGGTGGAGAATCTCATGCATCAACACATGAGCAACAGAGACACACGTGCTGGGAGCTATCTGCGTGTTGCAACGGAATCCCATCCCATACTCCCCTACCGACCCCACCCCCTCTCTCACCTACACGTTCCAGTGCTCCACGTGTTGGGAGGATAACCCCAGGTGGAGAATCTCGTCCATGAAGGCATGAGCTGAGCAGCACACACCAGCGACCCGCGTGAAGTAAGGGAATCCCCTACACCCTACGCCACCCACTCGCTCACCTGAACATTCCAGTGCTCCACGTGCTGGGAGGAGAGCCCCAGGTCGAGAATCTCGTCCATGAAGACATGAGCGAAGCTGAGCTCGTTCTGCGCGAGCCCGAAGCTGATCACCACAATCACGTTCCTCACCGCGCCTATCACCAGCGGCGCCACGACGTGTGACAGTAACGAGATGAGGAGTGCGGGGAGGATGAAGATGATGTTCCAGAGGAGAATGCGGCCGAAGGAGGCGAAGTAGAGGAGCCAGTCTAGAGGCACGGCGTCGTGAGGTGGGAACTGGGGGAGGGGCTTCCAGAAGGGCAGCTTCAGCATGTTCTCCAGGTGCGGGAAGACATAGGCTCGGGCGATAGGCTCGGAACTGAGTGCCATGCTGGCCTGTTTCGTTGGTTCGGAAAAGGGGGGGAAAAGGGGAAAGAGCAGAATGAGGAAGATTGGGGAAGCGGTTTGGTGCAGTACAAATAGCATGGCCTGGGTAGGGTGTTAGAGTTAGCTGTCAATCCCAACTGTACTTTTATATCCTAGTTTTGTGTAGTTTGTAGTTGGTGTGCGTTGGGTGTACACCCACACATCCCAACCAAACCCAAATGTGATTACGAGAAATCTCCAACCCACCAATTGGAGATTTCACCCGATCTCATTCGGAATGCCCTGATCCCTTTTCCCCCTCTCCTCCATTCCGTGCTCATTTCCTATGTACTTAGAGCCTTGAGCTCATCCCAAGGGAAGCAGAAGCTTGCTCTCTTCCCTCATCCAGCAATCTCACCTCATCCAATCTCACCTCATCCAGCAATCTCAACCCATCCAATCTCACCTCATCCAGCAATCTCAACCCATCCAATCTCACCTCATCCAGCAATCTCAACCCATCCAATCTCACCTCATCCAGCAATCTCAACCCATCCAATCTCACCTCATCCAGCTTGCCAGCGTGGACAACCAATGCTGACATGGCGTGCGACCAATCAAAGTCGGGCGAGTGGTAGATGTTTCCGCTGTAGAATGCTGTGCTGCGGGACACCTGGGGAGGGTGTAAAGGAGGGGTGGTGCAGTGCGGTAACGAGTGGTTGCAATAATAAGTGGGTGCGGTAATCAGCGGTAGATGTTTGCGCTGTAGAAGGCTGTGCTGCGGGACACCTGGAGGGGGGAGACGATGGGGAGGGGTGGTGCAGTGCGGTAATAAGAGGTAACAAGAGGTTGCTGTAATCAGTGGTAGATGTTCGCGCTGTAGAAGGCTGTGCTGCAGGACACCTGGAGGGGGGAGATGCTGGGAAGGAGAGGTGCAGTGCGGTAATGAGTGGTTGCAGTAACAAGAGGTTGCTGTAATCAGCGGTAGAGGCTGTGCTTCGTGAAACCTGGAGGGGGGAGACGATGGGAAGAGGAGGTGCAGTGCGGTGATGAGTGGTTGCAGTAGTAAGCGGTGGGCGCTGTAGTGCAGTCACTGGAATTTCGGTGTGGCAATATTGGATGCAGTGCAGGGAAGTCACAAGAGGTTGAGTGCCGTGATGAGAGGTGCAGTGCATTGCAGTGGGGAAGCATACCTCAATGCTGATGCCGATCGTGGAAAAAATGAGAATGGGAGCCGAGACGACAAACGGCTTGAAGTAGGGTAAATTCGGCTCTCTGACAGGGTGGTGCAGTGCGGTAATAAGAGGTGCGGTGCAACAATGGGCAGTATACCTCGATGCTGATGCTGATGGTTGCAAACACGAGGATGAGGGCCGAGGCAATGAACGGCGTGAAGTAGGGGAATGCGAGTCTGATGGTGTGGGGAGGGAGTGGGTGGAAGAGGGAGAAGGAAAAGGGAGGGGATTAAGAGGATGACCGCTGAGACGATAAACGGTGTGAATCAGGGGAAATCGAGTCTGATGGGGTGGGGATGGAGGAGGAAAAGGGAGGAAGGTTAAGAGGATGAGAGCCTTTTGAGGCACCTCAAAAGTAGGATGAGAGCCGAGGCAATAAACGGCGTGACGTAGGGAATTCGAGTCGACGGGGTGGGTAGGGAGTGGGAGGGAGAGAGAAGGAGGAGAAAGTGTGAGGGAGGCTAGGAGCAGGGAATGGGGTAAGGGATAACCCGTTTCAAAAGGAGCAGGGAACGGGGATAACCCGTTTCAAAAGGAGCAGGGAACGGGGATAACCCGTTTCAAAAGAGGCTACCTACTTTGGTCACGCTGGGATGACAAGCAGCACGGGGTGACAAGCAGCACGGGGTGACAAGCAGCACGGGGTGACAAGCAGCACGGGGTGACAAGCAGCATGGGATGACAAGCAGCATGGGGTGACAAGCAGCATGGGATGACAAGCAGCATGGGGTGACAAGCAGCATGGGATGACAAGCAGCACGGGGTGACAAGCAGCACGGGGTGACAAGCAGCACGGGGTGACAAGCAGCACAGGGTGACAAGCAGCATGGGATGACAAGCAGCATGGGATGACAAGCAGCACGGGGTGACAAGCAGCATGGGATGACAAGCAGCATGGGATGACAAGCAGCACGGGGTGACAAGCAGCATGGGATGACAAGCAGCATGGGGTGACAAGCAGCACGGGGTGACAAGCAGCACGGGGTGACAAGCAGCACGGGGTGACAAGCAGCACGGGGTGACAAGCAGCACGGGGTGACAAGCAGCATGGGATGACAAGCAGCACGGGATGACAAGCAGCATGGGATGACGGGCAGCACGGGATGACAAGCAGCACGGGGTGACAAGCAGCACGGGGTGACAAGCAGCATGGGATGACAAGCAGCATGGGATGACAAGCAGCATGCGATGACAAGCAGCACGGGATGACAAGCAGCATGGGATGACAAGCAGCACGGGATGACAAGCAGCATGGGATGACAAGCAGCACGGGATGACAAGCAGCACGGGGTGACAAGCAGCACAGGGTGACAAGCAGCACGGGGTGACAAGCAGCATGGGATGACAAGCAGCATGGGATGACAAGCAGCATGGGATGACCAGCAGCATGGGGTGACAAGCAGCATGGGATGACAAGCAGCACGGGATGACAAGTAGCATGGGATGACAAGCAGCATGGGATGACAAGCAGCACGGGATGACAAGCAGCATGGGATGACAAGCAGCATGGGATGACAAGCAGCACGGGATGACAAGCAGCATGGGATGACAAGCAGCACGGGATGACAAGCAGCATGGGATGACAAGCAGCATGGGATGACAAGCAGCATGGGATGACAAGCAGCATGGGATGACAAGCAGCACGGGATGACAAGCAGCATGGGATGACAAGCAGCATGGGATGACAAGCAGCATGGGATGACAAGCAGCATGGGATGACAAGCAGCATGGGATGACAAGCAGCATGGGATGACCAGCAGCATGGGATGACCAGCAGCATGGGATGACAAGCAGCATGGGATGACAAGCAGCACGGGATGACCAGCAGCATGGGATGACAAGCAGCATGGGATGACAAGCAGCATGGGATGACAAGCAGCACGGGATGACAAGCAGCATGGGATGACAAGCAGCACGGGATGACAAGCAGCATGGGATGACAAGCAGCATGGGATGACAAGCAGCATGGGATGACAAGCAGCATGGGATGACAAGCAGCACGGGATGACAAGCAGCATGGGATGACAAGCAGCATGGGATGACAAGCAGCATGGGATGACAAGCAGCATGGGATGACAAGCAGCATGGGATGACAAGCAGCACGGGATGACAAGCAGCACGGGATGACAAGCAGCATGGGATGACAAGCAGCATGGGATGACCAGCAGCATGGGATGACCAGCAGCATGGGATGACAAGCAGCATGGGATGACAAGCAGCATGGGATGACAAGCAGCACGGGATGACCAGCAGCACGGGATGACAAGCAGCATGGGATGACAAGCAGCATGGGATGACAAGCAGCATGGGATGACAAGCAGCATGGGATGACAAACAGCACGGGATGACAAGCAGCACGGGATGACAAACAGCATGGGATGACAAGCAGCATGGGATGACAAGCAGCATGGGATGACCAGCAGCATGGGATGACAAGCAGCATGGGATGACAAGCAGCACGGGATGACAAGCAGCATGGGATGACAAGCAGCATGGGATGACAAGCAGCATGGGATGACCAGCAGCATGGGATGACAAGCAGCATGGGATGACAAGCAGCATGGGATGACAAGCAGCATGGGATGACAAGCAGCATGGGATGACAAGCAGCACGGGATGACAAGCAGCATGGGATGACAAGCAGCACGGGATGACAAGCAGCATGGGATGACAAGCAGCACGGGATGACAAGCAGCATGGGATGACAAGCAGCATGGGATGACAAGCAGCATGGGATGACAAGCAGCATGGGATGACAAGCAGCATGGGATGACAAGCAGCATGGGATGACAAGCAGCACGGGATGACAAGCAGCATGGGATGACAAGCAGCATGGGATGACAAGCAGCATGGGATGACAAGCAGCACGGGATGACAAGCAGCATGGGATGACAAGCAGCACGGGATGACAAGCAGCATGGGATGACCAGCAGCATGGGATGACAAGCAGCATGGGATGACAAGCAGCACGGGATGACAAGCAGCACGGGATGACAAGCAGCATGGGATGACAAGCAGCACGGGATGACAAGCAGCATGGGATGACAAGCAGCATGGGATGACAAGCAGCATGGGATGACAAGCAGCATGGGATGACAAGCAGCATGGGATGACAAGCAGCATGGGATGACAAGAAGCATGGGATGACAAGCAGCATGGGATGACAAGCAGCACGGGATGACAAGCAGCATGGGATGACAAGCAGCATGGGATGACAAGCAGCACGGGATGACAAGCAGCATGGGATGACAAGCAGCATGGGATGACAAGCAGCATGGGATGACAAGCAGCACGGGATGACAAGCAGCATGGGATGACAAGCAGCATGGGATGACAAGCAGCACGGGATGACAAGCAGCATGGGATGACCAGCAGCATGGGGTGACAAGCAGCATGGGATGACAAGCAGCATGGGATGACAAGCAGCATGGGATGACAAGCAGCATGGGATGACAAGCAGCATGGGATGACAAGCAGCATGGGATGACAAGCAGCATGGGATGACAAGCAGCACGGGATGACAAGCAGCATGGGATGACAAGCAGCATGGGATGACAAGCAGCACGGGATGACAAGCAGCATGGGATGACCAGCAGCATGGGGTGACAAGCAGCATGGGATGACAAGCAGCATGGGATGACAAGCAGCATGGGATGACAAGCAGCATGGGATGACAAGCAGCATGGGATGACAAGCAGCACGGGATGACAAGCAGCATGGGATGACAAGCAGCATGGGATGACAAGCAGCACGGGATGACAAGCAGCATGGGATGACAAGCAGCACGGGATGACAAGCAGCACGGGATGACAAGCAGCATGGGATGACAAGCAGCATGGGATGACAAGCAGCATGGGATGACAAGCAGCACGGGATGACAAGCAGCATGGGATGACAAGCAGCACGGGATGACAAGCAGCATGGGATGACAAGCAGCATGGGATGACAAGCAGCACGGGATGACAAGCAGCATGGGATGACCAGCAGCATGGGATGACAAGAAGCATGGGATGACAAGCAGCATGGGATGACAAGCAGCATGGGATGACAAGCAGCACGGGATGACAAGCAGCATGGGATGACAAGCAGCATGGGATGACAAGCAGCACGGGATGACAAGCAGCATGGGATGACCAGCAGCATGGGGTGACAAGCAGCATGGGATGACAACCAGCATGGGATGACAAGCAGCACGGGATGACAAGCAGCATGGGATGACAAGCAGCATGGGATGACAAGCAGCACGGGATGACAAGCAGCATGGGATGACAAGCAGCACGGGATGACAAGCAGCACGGAATGACAAGCAGCATGGGATGACAAGCAGCATGGGATGACAAGCAGCATGGGATGACAAGCAGCACGGGATGACAAGCAGCATGGGATGACAAGCAGCACGGGATGACAAGCAGCATGGGATGACAAGCAGCATGGGATGACAAGCAGCACGGGATGACAAGCAGCACGGGATGACAAGCAGCATGGGATGACAAGCAGCATGGGATGACAAGCAGCAGGGGATGACAAGCAGCACGGGATGACAAGCAGCATGGGATGACAAGCAGCATGGGATGACAAGCAGCATGGGATGACAAGCAGCATGGGATGACAAGCAGCATGGGATGACCAGCAGCATGGGATGACAAGCAGCACGGGATGACAAGCAGCATGGGATGACAAGCAGCACGAGATGACAAGCAGCATGGGATGACAAGCAGCACGGGATGACAAGCAGCACGGGGTGACAAGCAGCACGGGGTGACAAGCAGCACGGGATGACAAGCAGCATGGGATGACAAGCAGCATGGGATGACAAGCAGCATGGGATGACCAGCAGCATGGGATGACAAGCAGCATGGGATGACAAGCAGCATGGGATGACAAGCAGCACGGGATGACAAGCAGCATGGGATGACAAGCAGCATGGGATGACAAGCAGCACGGGGTGACAAGCAGCACGGGATGACAAGCAGCACGGGATGACAAGCAGCACGGGATGACAAGCAGCATGGGATGACAAGCAGCATGGGATGACAAGCAGCACGGGATGACCAGCAGCATGGGATGACAAGCAGCATGGGATGACAAGCAGCATGGGATGACCAGCAGCATGGGATGACAAGCAGCACGGGATGACAAGCAGCATGGGATGACAAGCAGCATGAGATGACAAGCAGCATGGGATGACAAGCAGCACGGGATGACAAGCAGCATGGGGTGACAAGCAGCACGGGGTGACAAGCAGCATGGGATGACAAGCAGCACGGGATGACAAGCAGCATGGGATGACAAGCAGCATGGGATGACAAGCAGCATGGGATGACAAGCAGCACGGGATGACAAGCAGCACGGGATGACAAGCAGCATGGGATGACAAGCAGCACGGGATGACAAGCAGCATGGGATGACAAGCAGCATGGGATGACAAGCAGCATGGGATGACAAGCAGCATGGGATGACAAGCAGCATGGGATGACAAGCAGCATGGGATGACAAGCAGCATGGGATGACAAGCAGCACGGGATGACAAGCAGCATGGGATGACAAGCAGCACGGGATGACAAGCAGCACGGGATGACAAGCAGCATGGGATGACAAGCAGCATGGGATGACAAACAGCACGGGATGACAAGCAGCATGGGATGACAAGCAGCACGGGATGACAAGCAGCATGGGATGACCAGCAGCATGGGATGACAAGCAGCACGGGATGACAAGCAGCATGGGATGACAAGCAGCATGGGATGACAAGCAGCAGGGGATGACAAGCAGCACGGGATGACAAGCAGCATGGGATGACAAGCAGCATGGGATGACAAGCAGCATGGGATGACAAGCAGCATGGGATGACAAGCAGCATGGGATGACAAGCAGCATGGGATGACCAGCAGCATGGGATGACAAGCAGCACGGGATGACAAGCAGCATGGGATGACAAGCAGCACGAGATGACAAGCAGCATGGGATGACAAGCAGCATGGGATGACAAGCAGC